TTTTCTCTGCTGTCTTCTGCTGCTATTAGCATGAGTCACTTCTGAAACATTTTACTGACACCAAGAGAAAAATGGTGACATGAGAGGGATTTTTAGGGAGTGACAGCCTCAGCTCAGTTCCTGTGTGCTGTGTGAATGGGGGGGTGTCCTTTCCATCCAATCAGATCTCAGAACTCTCCTCACTGAGATCTGCAGAGTGGTGTAACTTCAGCTCCCCAGTTTTCTAAACTCTCAGACAAGCTGTATAAATTATGGACTTTAAATGGATGCAGAGAAGAGAAATTGCAGATAAACATTTACAACTTTTGTTGGAGGATTTGTTTCATCTCTGTGTATCATCCAAGGCCAGTTACTTCACTGGTCATATGTAAGGGTTTACAACCACTTTAAAATTCACTGTGCTCAAAGCCCTAGCTATTATCCAGACAGCATTTTCAAGGAATATCCGCTTACTTCTTCTATCAACTGACAAGGAAAAGGCATTTGAAAGGGTGGATTGGGCTTCCTTGACAAAAACCCTCCACCATATTGGTTTAGGTCAATGGAAGATGCACTGGATAAACACAATCTACAGTATTCTCAGCCTTCCACACAAGTAAAAATCAATGGCTATCTGTTTGCGTAAGATTAGAAGTAATCTGGATATCACTGGGTCATCTGTAGGTGTGCCCTTCTTTCCAAAGGTTGCAGCATATGAAGATGACCTCTTATTCTTCCTTTAGAATCCCTTGATTTCTTTACCAAACTTTTTATCTGAGTTGAAGGCATACAGGCTTTGTCGTACTTTTATATCAGGTTTCAAAAATCCGAAGCCCTGAACATCTCTCTGCCTGGCCCTTTGGCATCCTATATAAAGGCTGACTTTCAATTCCAATGGGCCTCATCACACTTTAGGTATTTGGGTTCTTACCCCCTCCCCCTTTTCTCAGCATATAAGAAAGACCTATCGTCTTGGCAAAAGGGCACATTCTCATGGTTTGAGAGATGCAATATCATCAAGATGAATGTTGTGCCTTGCCTTCTTTATCTCCTACAAGCATTGATGAGTCGTATTCGGGGTGCCTTTTTAAAGGCCATAAATAGAACATTCTTGACATTACTCTGGTCTCAGAAACCATCCCGCCTACATCAGACTATCTCACAGCTCCTGAAGCTATCTGGAGTGATGGCATTACCTGATGCTACTCTGTATAGGATGGCCTGCCACCTGTGCAGGGTGTTGGATTGGTGCTGACATGGTTCTACTAAACAATGGGTGTCCATTGAACAAGCAAGTGGGTCTTCCTTTGGACACTCTACCCTGGTGTAAGATCCCTTCTGATATTAAATTACATCCCAGCTTCAACTACCACCTCTATGCCGACGACACACAAATCTATCTCTCAAACCCCCACCTCACCCCCCGGTCTCCGCCCGAATCACAAACCTACTGAGCGACATATCAGACTGGATGTCGCTCCACTTCCTTAAACTGAACCTCTCCAAAACCGAGTTTCTTGTCTTCCCCCCAGCCCAGACACCACCCCCCATTGACTTCTCCGTCATATCCAATGACGCCACCATCAAACCCGCCCCGCAGGCCAGAATACTTGGTGTAATTCTGGACTCCAACCTATCCTTCTAGCCCCAAGTCCAATCTTTAACAAACTCGTGCAGACTCCACCTCCGCAACATTGCCAAAATCCGCACGTTCCTAACCCCAGAAACCACTAAACAGCTCATCCACTCCCTCATCATATCACGACTCTACTGCAACTCCCTCCTCACTGGCCTGCCTCGCCGCTGGCTATCCCCGCTTCAGTCGATCCTGAATACGGCTGCCAGACTCATTCACCTTTCCAACCGCTCCATCTCCGCCACCCCTCTCTGCTAATCCCTCCACTGGCTTCCGATTGTGTAACGGATCAAATTCAAAATCCTAACACTGACGTACAAAGCTGTCCACCATACTGCCCCGTACTACATCACTGACCTAATATCCAAGTACCGCCCAGCACGCACACTCCGCTCCTCACAAGACCTCCTTCTCTCTAGTTCCCTGGTCTCCTCCTCCCATGCCCGCCTCCAGGACTTCTCCAGGGTGTCACCCATCCTCTGGAACTCCCTGCCCCACCCTGAAAACCCATCTCTTCAGGGAAGCCTACCCCACCCCCTGCTAACCTGCCGACCTCCTCTACTCTTCCTACCACTCCATCCCCCACAGCTATCTCCTCCTGTACCACTATCCCCTCCCTCCTAGATTGTAAGCTCGAAAGAGCAGGGCCCTCGATCCCCTCATGTTTTTCATTGTATTGGTATTGTTCTGTCACATGTTCTGTCCCCCTCTGTAATGTACAGCGCTGAGCGAACCATTGGCGCTTTATAAATACTGTATAATAATAATAATAATCCCACTGTGGGGGAAACCTGTCATGTCTGGCATGTTTTTGAATCCAAAGCACTTTCGCCTAATCCTTCATTGCTTCTTCCGATAGTAGGCAACCCTGCAGGTTTCAAATATCGGCAGGACATTGGTCTTTGAGATCTCAGCTATTTGCAGACCTGTCCTATTCTGGGCTTTCTTTCTGACACAAAATCCAGCTCTCCCACTTCCTTCAATCTTTACTGCTGGTCCAGCATTTCAGCCATCATCTTACCCCTTTTGAACTCTTTTGCTCTTATTGTTCACCACTGCGTCATGTGATCATGTGATCTCAAAGGCTTACCACCTGCCTATTTTGCCTCCAGGGGACTTCAAAATACCCTATCTCTCTAAATGGGAGACTGACCTAGGGAACTCTCTCTCAGACAAGCAGATTGACAGGATCCTTCTTTTTATCTTAAAACCTCATGTGCCAAATATCAGGAAGCAGGTTTCAAACTGCTGACGTGCTGGTACCATACATCCATGCAACTCCACAAAATGTTCTCCCAGTGTTCGGAACAGTGTTAGAGATGTGGAGAGGAGCCAAGAATTCTACTTCATGTTTTTTGTATCTGCCATTTACTCCATGATTTCTGGACTGCAGTTTGGCATATTACTCAAAAATTCATTAAACCCTGCCTTGGGATCGAGTTTTCTTTTTGATACATCATCGCACCATCCCAGAAAAGACCTACAGATGCTCCGTTGTACTTTCACTGGTGACAGTGGTGTAATGCTGCATCCAGCTTTTTTGGATGCAAAAACAGGCACCTTCAATTGCCATTTGCCTGAAAAGAGTTGCGGAAATTAAAGAAGTGGAGGACTTGGTTGTAACAGAGAGGGGCACAAGAGAGAAATTTAGAAGTAAATGGTTCTATTGGCATGATTTTTCATACTTCACTGAGTTTATATCGCTGGCATGCTAAGACTGAGTTCAGAAGGGGTATCATTGTGTCGTGGTCTATTGTTGCTGTGGAGATGTATTGTTGCTGGTGGGGGATATTTGTTGATGGAGGAGATCTACTGCTGAGGGAGGAGCCTATTGTCTATGGTTGCTGGTCCCTTGAGAGTCTATTGATCCTGGCTGCTGGGAGATCTGTTGTTGTTGCTAGGCGTCTGTTGTTGCTGGAGAAATCTATTTTTTGCTAGGGGGGTCTATTGTTGTTGGCTGCAGGGGATCTATTTGTCTGTTTTTTTTTATCAATTCCAAATTCCATACAAATTATTCAGCACCACAAAATGATACTTGGCTCTGTATTCTCTAAAAGGAGTCATACTGGGAGGTGAGTAGGGGGCGGAGACATAAAGGGACTCAGAATGGGGGAGTTCCTGCACCTATTTTTTGAGAAAAAAAAAAGCCCTGGTTAAATTTAATGAAAGTGAATAATCATAATTCTAGATGGTATTAAAAATGTGGTATTAAAGTCTACATGCCAACAAAATTTAATAAAACATATTTGGCACACATCTCTTGTACATGCATATTCCCATGTTATGTCTCTTACAAATTCTGCAGGTGATGATGAATAAATACCTGCAGGTGATGGAGAAATGCATTCAGCTCCTAACTTATTGTAGTGGCCTGACAACACTGCCCTGCATTGAGAGGGTAGGGTTGGGGGCAGCAGTGGGAGGGGAACAAGTGCCAAGAATGAGGAGGGGTTAGTGCTTGTTCACACTTGACTAAATTTTAACTCTTCAAAAATGCTCCTATAGCATTAGTATGGGCGACAAGCATTAACGAGCTTTAGTATGGGTGTTTTACAAGCATTAAAAATGCTCCCATAATGCCCTATGTGCTGTTTTGAGGCATTTTATAAGTATTTTACAAGCGTAAAACTGCTCCACAAATGCCTATAATAAACGGTAATGGTATTAATGTGCCGAAACTGCGCTGCAAATGCTTGCCAGCGCATTTGTGGCGTGTCACCATAGACTTGAATGGGAGGCCTTGAAAGGCTTAAAACTCCTCCAGACTCAACATAAGACTTCAATTTTGAAGTGACGTGACTCTAATGCTTTATGTTTGGATAATGTGAACAGCACTGTGTGCTGTCCATAGCATCATTTGTATAGGCATTTAAAGAGCTTTAAAAACATCCCTCAAACACCTGCTTTCAATACCAGTGTGAACTAGACCTTACAGAGAAAATGAGAGGGGAAGGTGTTATGTAGTCCAGCAGAGGAGAACTCAGACAAGGCTGACAAGGCTGATTGGGACTTTAGTGCAGCAGTAGCAATTTTGTCAGCTCACTAGGAAATTAAGAGCTCACTGCATTTCTGGCAGGATCATCAATGCAACAGAATTACAGCGAAAATGCCATGGTGGGTGGTAAGAGAGTCTGGAAACATGGCTGGGAGATATTACTGTTTGGGTCAACCAAGTTCCAGCTATAACTAAAGTATCCTGTTTGGGTGGATGGACCCAGGCGGGTGCAAGGCAGTTCTCTCGTTCTGGGAGTACGTCATATGACATCCTCCCATTCTAACCGTGCATGTGCGCCTCCGGGGGCGCGCAGTGCGGCAATCGGTGGTACTCTGTGTCCCTCAGATGGAAAGAGCCAAAGATGTCGGCTCGGTCATGTGATCAGCTGTGTCCAATCACAGCTGATTGCATGTAAATAGGGAAATGCCAGTTATCGGCATTTCTCTCCTCATGAGCTGTCACGCTGACAGCTCGTGAGGAGAGGAGAGCCGGTAATTGTCATCCCTCAGGGGGGACATGTACACTGATCATCAGGACACTGATGATCAGTGTGCCCTGATGATCAGTGTAGCCCCAGCAGTGCCACCTGTCAGTGTCCATCAATGCCAGCTATCAGTGCTCATCAATGCCACCTGCCAGTGCCCATCAGTGCCACAATAATGCCACATATCAGTGCCTACCAGTGCACATCAATGCCACATATCAGTGCCCATCTGAGCTGCCTTTCAGTGTCACCTATCAGTGCCAGTCAGTGCCGCCTATCAGTGCCAGTCAGTGCCACCTATCAGTGTGCATCAATGCCGCCTATCAGTGCCTTTCAGTGCTGCCTATCAGTGCCGCCTATCAGTGCCAGTCAGTGCCGCCTATCAGTGCCACTTATCAATGCCATATATGAGTGCTGCCTTTCAGTGCCCATCAGTGATGCCTGTCAATGCCCATCAGTGTCACCTACCAGTGCCTCCTCATCAGTGCCACCTATCAGTGCCCATCAGTGCAGCCTATCAGTGCCCATCACTGCAGCCTCATTAGCGCACATCAGTGAAGGAGAAAAATCACTTATTTACAAAATTGTATAACAAAAACTAAGATAAAAAGTTTTTTTTTTAATTTTCAGTTGTTTTTGGTTGGTTGGAAAAAGGTAAAAAACCCAGAGGTGATTAAATACCACCAAAAGAAAGCTCTATCTGTCTGTCTGTAATGATAAAAATGTCATATGGGGACAGTGTTGCATGACCGTGCAATTGTCATTCAAAGTGTGAAGCGATAAAAGCTGAAAATTGGCCTGGGGAGGAAGGAAGTATAAGTGCCCTGTAGGCAAGTGGTTAAATAAGCCTCAAAAAGTGTTCAGTTATATCTACTGGCAAAATTCCCTGAGATCATTCACAACCAATCACAAAACACACCAGTAACAAAACCTTACAAAAACTTTCCAGTGATAACCCATGATAAATGTTTGCCTGTTGTGAGCTGTGCTCAGTGGTGTGTAGCTGACAGCAACTTTGACCTTTGTGTAAATCTAAAAAACGCCTCTTAAGAGTTATATTCATGTATTTCAAATTACACTGCAAGCATCCGGGGAAACCTCTGCATTTTTGGAAGTCCTACTGACTTCTAGTAGCGATAATATATATTCCAGCAAAGGTCCACTATAAAAATTCAAGCATCAGTGGAATTTAATCTGTAGGTTTCAGAGCCTGGTAACAAATTAGTTTGGACAGATTTTTGAAATATGAACAAGGCACCAATAACACTGATGGATAAGCACCAACAATCTGTTTGATGCTTTTGGCTTTTTCACCCTGCAGCTTTTTATCTCTTGCAATAAAATAGAAAAGCAAAACACCTCAAAGAGGAAAGGAATGCACAGTAGCCTGACCCTCCTAAAAGGTAACATAAATGCTTTTCTGGGTCACTGCTCTTTGTAGTCAGTGTTAGGAGTCCAGCTGTGAGAGGTCTTCTTTACCAGAAACAGTCTATATATTTTTCCTGTGGGATATGGCATCACCTTCTTGTAACAGAAAGTATTTAACCGGCTGCAATTCCAGAACAAAACCAGATAACAAGGAGCTCATGAGAAGAGTCATGCAAGTCACGCAAATCATTCCTTTTGCCCCTTTAGCCATTAATGCATCCAGAACCTCTGGTTTATAGACCAGATATACTCAATGGCAGGGGCGGACTGACAACTCATGGGGCCCCCGGGCAATAGGGGATCATGGGGCCCCTGTGTCTTTGCCCAAACTCAAAAGAGCCTATGAAAAAGGTACCAGGGGCATCTCATGGGGCTCCCTACTGGCCCCGGGCCCTCGGGCAGTGCCCGAGAATCCAAATGGTCAGTCCGCCCCTGCTCAATGGTGTACCTAGAATATCTGGCACATGGTGCCGACTGTTGTTTTTTAACATCCCCATCCACATTTTTGTGGATGTGACCAAATTGTGCTAACATTGGGAGGGGTTTGAAGGATCATTGGTAAATAAAACCTGAGCCTACCCCCTCTATACATACCATACATGTGCCACAGTCCATGTACCCCACATGGAAGAAAAATATATTTGAAATGTGTTTTAAAAATATTCTTCGCAAATATATTGACATATATAGGCATTAGCTAACCTCTCTTAAATGCCTTTCCTCTTGTCAGCCACGTCTTCACACTCGTTAAGCGTTTTTTTCTGCCAAAATGCAGCTGCTCATGGACGCGCTAGCAATGTGTTTTTCATAAGGCTCTAAACACCCCTGCCTTTTAATTCATCTAAACGCCTATATATGCATGGACAAATAGGCTAACATGGAGGAGCATTTAGAGCAAGGTTTCTCAACAAGGGTTCCATGGAGCCCCAGGGTTCCTCCAGAGGTTCCTAGGGGTTACTGGGGCAATGAGCAATTTCTGCCTCTCAGATAAGTTCTCCCTGACACCAATTATCTTTTTTGCTATCTGTAAGGGGGGGAATTATTCTCAATGACAACAAGTGTAAGGAGCATTCTTCATACTGACCTTAAAGTGGAGTTCCAGCTGAACAAAAAAAAAAATTAAAGTCAGCAGCTACAAAAACTGTAGCTGCTGACTTTTAAAATACAGCCACTCACCTGTCCCTCGGTCCCGTGGTGTCCCTCACCACGGTTGGTTTCACGGGCCATCTTCTCTTCCTGGCACAGGCATCTTTAGTGCGGGCACCTGGCTGTGACAGCTTGCGGCTTCACAACCGGGTATCCACTGCGCATGTGCGAGAAGCGCTGTGCTTTGTGAATGTCCCCGTAGTCTTCTGGGACCTGTCACGTGTCCCAGAAGACTACGGGGAGGGGGTAGGACAGCTTCCGCTTCTGATCGCCTAGGTGATCACAGCAGAAGTGGGAGCGGGTATCTGTCAAATCCAGGTACCCGCTCCCCAAAGGTGCCAATCCTTATGGGGAGTAAGGGACAAAACATTAAAGTGGAACTTCCCCTTTTGGGTGGAGCTCCGCTTTAACACTCATGTATCATGAGTTGTAGATATAGTCATTTTTAGCAGGGGTTCTCTGAGCCTGGGAAGTTATTTCAAGGGTTCCTTTGTGTTGAAAGGTTGAGAAAGGCTGATTTAGAGGCAGGAAAAAAAATAAAACTAAAAACACCACACTCCTCCAGCAGACTGCTCTCTCCCATGCTCCTGTAGTGGTCAGTTCCTCTACATCCTCACATCCAATGCAGGCTCTTCACCCTGCAGCAGTCTTGAAGATGTCAGAGGACCTTAGTTCAACATAGTTCAGGGGAGAAGAGGCAGCGGGGACCGATCTAGTAGTGCAAAGGAGCCTGCAGTGGCAGAGGGTAATTAAAAATTACTTTTGCAAATACCCTAGACCAGTGATGGCGAACCTTTTTGAGCCCGAGTGCCCAAACTGCAACCCAAAACCAACTTATTTCTTTCAAAGTGCCAACACTGCAATGAAACCTGAATATCGAGCTTTTGGTTTAGAAAAAACAACTCGTACAGTAGTGCAAACTAATTAACAGTACAGGGATAACCAGAGACTGCGGACAGTACAGGGATGACCAGAGACTGCGGACACAGTACAGGGATGACCAGAGACTGCAGACACAGTACAAGGATGACCAGAGACTGCAGACACAGTACAGGGATGACCAGAGACTGCGGACACAGTACAGGGATGACCAGAGACTGCGGACACAGTACAGGGATGACCAGAGACTGCGGACACAGTACAGGGATGACCAGAGACTGCGGACACAGTACAGGAGATGACCAGAGACTGCAGACACAGTACAGGAGATGACCAGAGACTGCGGACAGTACAGGGGATGACCAGAGACTGCGGACAGTACAGGAGATGACCAGAGACTGCGGAAAGCACAGGGATGACCAGAGACACAAGACTGCGGACAGTACAGATGACTGCTGACCTTTGGGGAGGGAGGGGGAGCGGGTACCTGAATTTGACAGGTACCCGCTCTTACTTCCGCAGAGTTTTTTTTTATCTTACCTGTTCCTTTATCCAGCCGCGCGCTGTCTTCCCGGCTTCTGTAGTGTGGGCGCTCGTCGGACAGCCGGATGCCCAGTGCGCATGCGCGAGAAGCGCTGCGCTTTGTGATTAGTCCGGCGGCTTCTGGGATCTGTCATGTGTCCAAGGTACCGCCTTACCATTCACAAAGAGCACTGCTTCTTGCGCATGCGCACTTGGGACCCGGCTGTCACGCACACTACAGAAGCCGGGAAGACAGCGCGCCGCTGGATAGAGGGACAGGTACGGTCCCACTGCAGAGCTGAGCGGCCGGCCCGGTATTCTGACATGGAGGCGGTGGAAATACCGGACCGGCCGCTCTATATTCGCTCCATAAGACGCACTGACATTTTCCCCCCTTTTTTGGGGGAAAAAAAAGTGCGTCTTATGGAGCGAAAAATACGGTATTCTCCTGGCGTGCCCACAGATAAGGCTCGGCGTGCCGGCTGTGGCACGCGTGCTACGGGTTCGCCATCACTGCCCTAGACCAAAATGAGCAGTTAACAATTGCAGTGTGGGTGTAGCCCCACTGCGACAGTTCAGTTTTAATTACTATGCCATAACAGGAGTGTAACAGACACATACAAATCTCAGCACAGGCATTTTTTTAAATTGCATACTTTTCTACACAAGTCCTACCTTCAGAAGTATATAATGTATTTTAAGTGCAATATTCAGGAATATGTCATATAGTGCCCATCTTATAGAGTACAGTAATCTGGGCCAGGGGCGGACTGACAACTCATGGGGCCCCTGGGCAATAGGGGATCATGGAGCCCCTGTGTCCTTGCCCAAACTCAAAAAAGCCTATGAAAAAGGTACCAGGGGCATCTCATGGGACCGCCAACTGACCCTGGACCCTCGGGCAGCGCCCGAGTTTCCAAATGGTCAGTCCGCCCCTGGTCTGGACTATAAAACGTATAACATATTGTCTGTAGTGCAAGGCTTGAGAGTGCTTTAGTGTCAAGGTCCTACCTTTCCTCAGAGGTTGTGCTGCTCCATGTGCTGGCATCCATTTTAGGTTTCTGCAAAGCACGGTGGGAGCCTTTTATGCTTTCAGGCCTCTGCGGTCCCTCCCCCAGAGGGGTGTGGTTGATCACATTTAAGCCTGTTGTCTGCACTTGCTCTTTGCATTCGTGTCCTGTATGTTCCCTTGCAGCAAGCTCTTGTTCTGTTCTCATTGCTCTCCTGGTAACCGACTCGGCTTGGACAAGACTATTCTCTGCTTTAACTCTTTACCTGACCTCCCGTTGCTGAACCCGGCCCGTGACC